TCTCATCCATATTGGAGGGGACGACTCCTATCCAGGAACTCTCTCCATGAGAATAATTGCTCCCATCTGTCTCCCGGACAAAAGAACAAGGGAAAAAAGAAGACTCAGGTCCCTCAGACATCAGTCTCTATAAACAACTCCTTTCCCTTTCTTCCGCTAGCCTGGAGTGGGGATGGGAATGACATACCTCTTTTACCTTTTGACTCCAGTCTCCTCACTTGTAAAATGTTTGGGTTAGATTGGTGAATTCTAAGGGTTTTTTTTTCTTCCATGGTTTCTGAAATGTTGGAAAGCCTGGGATATCAGGATTCTTAATTTCCTGGGCTGTTACTAAATAGTTGCAAATTTTGCATCAGTAATTCTCCTGTGAAGGACTTTCCAAGAGAGTAGCTTTTAGGCTTAAATGAGGATACAGAGACCCCGGGGGACTGAAAAGCTGTTGTCAAAGTAGAAGGTGGTATTTTCCATTTGGGGCCTGGCACCCGTGGGCGATGGTTGCCATCTGCCTCTCTATTTTCCTCCGCGCTCTCATCCCACTTGTCCCCTGTGAGCTGTTGTTTTCTCTACCCACTGGTCACTCATTTGCCTTTGTTGGAAGTGCTGGTCTCCTACATTCTCACTGGGTGGTCAGGAGTTGGACGAATGTTGATGATTAGCAGGCTTAAAATAATTTCAAATTTGTCTTCATTTGGATGGAGGTTGAACTGCAATATACCCCTGGCTTGTTTATGTAAAAAGACTTTTTGCCAATGATATTAAAGCATATGAGTCAGAGATGGAACTTATTTATCTAGGAACACAGTGTTTTAAAGTAGCTGGAGGGACACCAGTTATACCCAACAGGACCACGACAGTAGAAGCAGAAAGTGGCCATATTTTGCATGCTGTGTTCTTTGTCTCCAAGGGAGGACCCTCCCACTGACATTTCAGGCTCTGAAGGATGTTCTAGAGTCAGGTGGGAGTCTTTTTTTTTTTTTCTGACTCGAGTCTGCTTGTGGGGCTAGAACAACCCTGGGTTTTGACAATAATATGACAAGATATTAGAAATGACCACTTGCCTTGTCAATTCCTCTTGGCCTGGACATTCATTTTTTTTATTGGCTAAAGGCCAGGACTTGACCAATTAGAGATGCTCAAAAAAAAAAAAAAAAGAAAAGAAAAAAGAAAAACAGAGAGTATTAGTTATGATGTTAAATCATAAATTTGCAAAGGGAGCTGAACCGGCACACTCTGTGCTTTGGTTGTGTACAGCTAAGTCATGGGTTCTATAGAATTTATATCTGACTGCTTTCTTGCCAGGAGCTGTGTTTATCTGGACCAGGATTCTAACTTCCTGGGATGATACTAAGTAGTTGAAAATTCTGCACAAATAATTCTTCTATAAAGGACTTGCCAAGAGAGTAACTCAATGTATTATGACCCCTTTTATATAAACCTCCTTCTTCCACCCAAACTTTCCCAAACTTTGCTGATTTTAGACCAATCGTTTTTCACAGGGTGGTCAGAAGAGTGTGTTCTTCTGCTTCTCACCAGTTTGGTTCTGGCCTTTTAAAATGGACACATAGTTTGCATTATAAGAGTAAACTAAATTTTTTTTTTTATTTTCAGTGTGTGTGTATGCCTGTTTGTTTGTGTGTGTGCATGTGTGTGTGTGTGTGTGTGTGTGTATGGGTGGTGTGTGTGTGCTTGCATGTATGTGTGTGGTGTGTATTTGATACTGATGTTGAAACTCCTCTTTGATCACTCTCCACCTTGTTCACTGAGATGGATTCTCTCAGTTGAACCCAGTGCTCACCGATAGAGCTCATCCATCCCAGCCACTTTGCCCTGGAATTCCTTGTCTCTGTTTTCAGAGTGCTTGAGTTCCAGGTGGGCTGCCCCCTTCCGTGCACGTGAATTCTGGGGTTCAGAACTCTGACTTTCACTGTTTGCTGCTTACCTAGCAAACGCTCTAACCGCTGAGTCTTCTCAGGCTGAAACAGCTAAGTTCAACTGGCCTTTACCTGCTGAAATCAGTGCTTTACTTACATGATCTCCTTAGCTCTGCCAACAACCAAGATAGGTATTACTGTCACCTTCCCCCTTTAAAATAAATGCAGTTATATCTGAGGCATAGGCTGATGGGTAGCTGCATCCCCTTGGAGCGTCTTTTCTGTGAATGTTGTTAAAAACACTCAAAGGCAACTTGCAGTCTCTCAGTTTGAATCATGGGTGATCTCCTTAGGGCTCCTTCAGCAAAGAGGTCTTCTTGGCCATCCCAACAATTCCTCATTCCATTTGAGTTTTATGAAATTTGGAAGGCACTCTCAGCCTGAGGATTTTGTTATTTGGTGTCTTTTCCTTGTAATACGGTTGGAAGGACAGGCTGAGGACCCTGGGGAGAAAGAAGCTGTGTCTGGTTCTGCGGGCCTGGCTAGGGGCCTTGTTGGCTGTGCTATGTGCCCACAGGGAGACAATGGACACTTCTGAGTGAGAATGTGGCCCATGGACCCCTGAGCCCTGAGGTCAGATTATGTTCCCTGAAACAAAACTCTGGGCTTTTGCCTTTTATTCATGGGTCCCATTCTGCCCTAGTAACCTTATGAGGAACTCTTGGCATTCCCCAGGAAAGGGGCTTTCAAACAGTTTAGTTCTCTGCAGCCTGCTTGACCATAATGTCAAGCAACATGCAGCATCCTGCCTGCAGCATAGCCTTGGGGGTTGCCTGGTGCACAGACCTTATGTGGGAGCCCCAGCAGTGGGCTTTCAGGGTTCAGGAGTGAGTCACCTTGGCATCTCCCCAGAGGTGACTATTGGCCAAAGTGGAGAAAGCAGCCAGCCAGGTTTCATTTAGTCCCATTAAAATGCTGCCCCTGGACAGGCCTGAGCTCTAGGAAGCAGCCCCTGCAGGGCTTACGTGATCTGCAGGCAAAGCCAAGTCTCCAGAGGCACATTCCACCCCCAGCTGCCGAGGTTACTAGAGGAGGTCTGGCATGTGGGGGGGAGACACCTGGCAGGTGTTGTCGATATGACTAAGAACTGCTATGACCATTCCGTACCGGCCCGGCCTCCATCACATGCCAGATGTGAGCATGCCTTAGCAGGGCCTTCCATCTTAGATGGTCATCATCCATGTTATTCAGAGGAGGCTCAAAGAACTAAGTAATGTGCCTTACCTGTGACTGGCTAGACTAGGATTCAAACTCTGGCCTGTCTTGATTTCTTCCTATTCCACTATTAATCTCCCTGGGAAAGAGTGCTACCAAATCTGGGATCTTGATGGTGGGTGAGTATCTGTGGTGTCACCATTGCTTTATGGTGGGTATGGCTCTGGGGTCTGTGCACTCGCCAGTGTCCCTGCAGAAATGACAACCGTGAGAGCTCTGTTCCACAGCAATCATGCTACTGGTAAAAACAAGAGACTATTTTATTCTACCCCATCGGTGGACAGGCTCAGAGTGAACCAACGTGCCTTGAGGGAAGTTACAGCGTTTGATACCCACACAAGGGCACAATATTTTTCCATAGCTTTTACCTTAGCAAAAACTTCTGGCTCCTACCCAGGCTGTTAAAATACCCTTTTTCACTGTCTCTTTCCACACCTCTCTGCCCAATTTGTATGCAATTACTGTCTGGCCTCAATTCCAATATGTCCTTGATCCCAAGAGGCACATTTTTTTCACACTTTAATATCTTTGCAATTGGCACCACATATCTTGTCATTGAGATACACACTTAATATGGTATGGCTTTTTAAATTGATGTTGCATTTTGCAGTTGATGGGAGACCAAGAATGGAGGGAATATGAGAAGTCATGCCTTTATTCAACCCATCTGTCACCTGCAATAGATGTCAGCATTATACTAGATTCTGGGGACTGTGAAATAACTAGTTTGTAGTTCTTGAAGTTATAATCTAGAGTGGCAAGATGGATCTGCAGCTCAAGAACCTGAGCTTGCTCATTTGCCATAAGAAGGGTTTGCAGAAACTGACATTGGTTTTGAGGGGAAGGTGTATCATGAAGGGGAGCAGAAGGATTAGGAGAAGGTTGGGAATAGGTGGTCTGATACAGTGTTTTGGATAAGTTGAATGGTTGGAGCCAACAAAGTCTCAGAATCATGAGAAGTGTTTGGGAGCACCCACGGGTTCATTGTGGCCAAAGTGGAGGGTGCATGTGGAAACTTGGGTGTAGAAATGACACCAGAAGGATGGCTAGGGACAGGTTTCTGGGGACTTTAAGTGTCTTGGAAATTAGTTTAATTTTATCTTGAGTCTAAGAGTGAACTGTTGAGGGGTTTTACACAAGGGAATCTATCTCGATAGGTGTTTAGTGATTCTACAGAGGAAACAAATGGGAGAGGGCAGTGGGTGGAATGGGAGAAGGTGGGTAAGCTAAAGGCTATTGGAGGAGAAATAGTAGCTGCTACTCTGGAAGCTTAAAAAGAAAAACTCACTTTAATTAGCCATCCCCAGACAGCCAGATCTGATCCTGCAGGCTTGAAGATCGCCCAGTGTTACAGCTGCGCTTCTAGAGAAGACCCTGCAGGCACCAGGGGGCTCTTCCTTGTCTCAGGAGAGCTGTGTTCTCACTAGACAGGCTCCTGTTGCCTATGAGAAAAACTTAGCATTTGTCTCTACTTGTTCAAGAAGGGCCCTGACATTCCCACAGATACTTACCAAATTAGTTCTCTGCTCAGCCTGTTTTACAGTTGGATGGAAGCATATGCCAGCTCTGGGGAAAAAGTACAGGTATCAGAGTTATTCCTCACAGGGTAACCACAGTGGACATGTTCCCATAGGATAACAGATGTTAAGCATTTGGAGTCATAAGAAGGAAGCAGGTATACAGGGTTTATAAAGCCAACATGACAATGATGCTGGGTCCTTTGAGAGATGCCCCAGGACGTATTTGTGAGTGGGAGGAGGTTTTCTGATGTCTGGATGCTTGGAGAAGGGATGAGGGATCATTAAACATGACCTGAGACTTATGACTCTCTTCCTTTCCCACCTTTCTGAACAGGTACAGTGCCATACTTACACAGGGTACTGCTGGTGTGTGACCCCCGATGGCAAGCCCATCAGTGGCTCTTCTGTGCAGAATAAAACTCCTGTCTGTTCAGGTACCGTAGGAAGGGGCAGGAGGGATGAAAAGAGTTGGAGAGAGCCTACCAACTTGTTGGTTGGGCTCCGAATCTCACAGGCAAACATTTAAAGGGTTGGTGTGGTAAATGAATTCTTTTCCGGGTTAGAAGGGTTCCACGCTATGCTTGCTCATAGTCAGCTAGATGAACAGGGCTGGCCTGTGACTGTGTGTGTGAGTGTGTATGTTTGTGTGTATTTATTTTGAGTTTATGTTTCTGGTCCAGGGCTCTTTTTCCTAAGCATTGGCTATGGACCCTTAGAGCCGAGATGGCATATATTTTAGAATTTTGTTGTTTTTTACTGCCTGTAGCAGACCTTGAAATGCATTCTTGGTATTGATTTTAAAGCTGTATGAGAGTTCAGTGCCAAAGGCTTCAGCAGTTGATTAGTGATGTCTGTCATGGGCACAGGAAAGGAAACGTGTTGGCTCCTCTGCCACATCTTTGCCATCCTTGACTATTACCGCAATGAACAATGGAAAACTTTTCTAACAGTGAACATTATGTCTGGCTGGTTATCTGTAAGGCCTGGGAGATTAAACAGACTGCAAGAGTCAAAGCTTCTCCTTGAATATTCTAACTTAATAGCTACTAGACCTGGAGTGAACCCCAAAGCCCTTATTTTTATAAAGCTTTTCTGATACTTAGAAAAGTTTGGTAATGACCTATTGGGTTGATCTAAAGCAAAGATTACATTTTCTACTCCCAGATTTGTAAGCATACAATGTTTGCTGTTTGGACAGTTTTGTGGGATTGTTGGGGATGGATTCACACAAGGCCCACATTTCCCCTTTATTAGTTACTCCCTAAGGTTATCATCCAAACAGCCAGTCTTGCCTACCCACTGTGTACAGGGATTGGGTTTTTACGTATTCCCAATTTTAAGTGCAAGCAAAGTATAAAATATTATGCTAAAGCATAATTCCAAAGGCCTTCAGTCTATGTTAATTTTTTTCATGGTTTTCAATTTTTTTAAATAAAATTTGTTCTCTTAAAAACGAAACAAAACAAAACAAAACCGGCCCTTCTGTTTAAAGAGGGAAGCAAGTGGAAAGGGTACCAAGAATGTATGTAAGAATGTATGTTAGAGATCAAAATTTACAGGCCCAAAGGGAAGTTTACTTTATTTGTGGTTTACACAGAAACTGGAGACCTTAATTGGGTTAGGATGAGGAGGGGCAGGGCTTGGCAAATGACCTGGAACGCTTCATTTAAACTAAACAAATGCAGTAGACACAAGCCCCCCTGCAGGGTAAGATAACAGAATCCTCTCAGAATGCCTGTATAAAGAAAGAGTGTGGTGTGGGTTAGGAAAATCAGAACTCTCAGTTTTCTCCTGTGGGCAGGATCTCCACAGAGGCCTTTCTGTGGAGTGTGCTTTCCCTACACATGTGGAGTTGGCCTTCAAGGAGAAGGCAGGTGCCACAGAGCCAGGCCTGGATAACGGGTACATGTGGCATTCCAGAAGAAATGGGGCAAATGTTTGGCCTACAGGCTCCCCCCTCCTTGAAGAACAGGCTGTGTCTAGAAAATTGTTTCCATGCCTCAGACTGTTTGGCCCATTCAGTACAATTGGGCCAACAATTTTCTACTTAACGCAGATGGAAAATCACCGATTTCCTGCCCTGACCAGCAAGGGATGTCAATCATTGTGTTTTCAGTAAGAGGGGGTTTCTTTTCAGTTGGCCCCGGTGACTGGATGTGGGTCAGAACATGGAGATGGTGAGAAGAGGGGGCATGCAGGGGTGTGTAAGTGGGGTACAAATATTGGGATGTTTGCGTTACATGGATGTGGAATTTTGTTAAAAAAAAAAAAAAAACAGATCAAGATTGGTTCCAGGGAACCTGGAAATCATAGTTCATCTCAAAACAGTCTGGGTTATCAGTGACATTGATGTTAAACAAACCCCACTCGACATGCATGTGCTCACTAACTTTGTATATAATATCCCCAGTGTGTATACAATACATATATACACGACCGTGTGCTCATAACATCAGGCTTTGCCAAGTGTTTGACAGAAACCAACCACAGTACCATCTGAATCTTGTGCTTCTGTTTCCTCTCTTGCCCAAGGTCCGGTCACCGACAAGCCCTTGAGCCAGGGTAATTCAGGAAGGAAAGGTGAGTGGAGTTTTATGCTTTGTCTAAATGTTTGCTTCGAAAGCCAGTGTAAGCAGGGTTCTTAGCTGAGAGAGGAGCCTGGGCTGAAAGTGAAACATGCTTTGGGTTTCCACTTTCTTTCCTGAAGCACTAGAGTAAGGATGGCCCAGATAGTGATGATGATGGAGCTGGCATTGTTTCTGAGGAAGGAGAGAGAGTGTAGGATGCAGAGTTGAGTTAGGGACCACCCTTATGTGAGCCCTATGGGTCTCTGCTCTCTGGGAAGTTGAGTTGGCCAACTACTAATATATCCAGTGTTCGACCAAAGAGGATGATGAAGGTAAGGCACACTGGTCTACCCTTGGCACTCTTTGTTTTGTAAACTTACTTGAGTGTCCCCCCCCCTCCCCTGCCATTTTCCTGGATGGTATGTTCTAGTGTATCCAAGAGTCTCTTCCTAAAGACCAGGCTGACATCATGGCTTTGTGGCCAGGGCAGTTGTCATGAAATTCTCAACCATGTTGCCTTTGCACCAAGAGAATAGTGACATGTGCACAGAGGCAGAGGAGACACATGCTCCATGCGTGTCTGCTGCCAGGCCTTGTCACCCTCAAAGCATCACAAATTTTGCATGATGCTTACTATTTGGCTTCTGTAGCAAGCTTAGGGACATTTTGTTCGTTTGTTTAAACCTAGAACAACACTAAACAGCAAATTAAACACCACAATTACAAGTAAGAGATAGATAGATAGATAGATAGATAGATAGATAGATAGATAGATAGATAGATGGCAGATAGATATTGTGGGAGAGAGGGTAAAGTTTTCTATCTTAAACTTCTAATGATAGTTTTTCCTGCCTCCTCCTTTTAACAAAGAATCCCCATTTTTGTTTCAGTCTGGTTCTCCCATTTCATTATAGCTGGTATTTGAGAGTTGTTTAGTGGACCCTGACATGTGGAGCTGGTCCTTACAGTTTGCTGCCAACCCTTTCTGGCTTGGAAGACAGTTTGAGTCCTAGGACTCACAACTGCTAGCTCCTGGGACGGTGCACACGGAGGCCTGGAAAGCAAAGAGCTAGCCATTTAATCACACATACAGGTGCTGCCTGGCTTCCCTCCACCTCAGGCTCGACTTGAGGCTTCCTACCTCACCTTGGCTTTGGAAACCACACGCTCATAAGAGTCCTTGGTGGAGAGGGTACTGTGAGTCAGCACAAATTTTACCATGTGCTACATATACACGGCCACATGCAGACCAGGGCTGCCACTGGCTTCTGCCACTACCCTGAGGGTAGGAGTTAAGGCCCCGAGAAGCTGTTTCTCTGAGATGTGATCCTCTAAGAAGTAGAAAGTGGCATTACCATGGACTAAAACAGTGGGACCCACAGGTAGGCGGCTTCTCTTTCCCTGAAGAAGGAAGGTGGGAAGAAGGGAGAAGACGCCTCTCCAGGTCCTTGCCAGAGCTGGGGCTGCAACCAGGACTGCTATGGTGGGAGGCGGGGGCAGGGGTGTCTCTGTAGAGGTCTGAAGTCACCAGGCTGGTCAGCGGTCAGTGGCATGTGCCTGGAGGGTTTAGGAATAAGAGCTGTTTTCATCGCACTTGCTGCGGATTAATGCTTCTCCTCACCTTTGTTTCTGGGTGTGAGGACCTCACGGCAGGCAGAGAAAAACAGCTGGCAGTCATGTAAAGCTGACCACCCATCAAAACTGATCCTTCTCATCCCAAGGGAATGGGGGGTAGGGGAGGAGGAATACACTGTGCGGACAAAGCCTGACGTCCGGAAAGGCTGGTTTGCATCCTGAACTGGATAGAAAAGGCTCTTGTGGTCGCTGTGGTCTTGCCCCACATGAGTAACAATGATGGATACTCATCGTCATCCTGGATCCTATTAAGCCAGCTGGTGAACTGCAGATGGCATTTACAGGTGATGGTCGTGAACACCTTCTGTCTCCTCCTAGACCAGCGGAGGTCTCAGGGCATGACTCCTCCAGGGTGATGCTAAGAATGGAGCCTCCCTCTAGATCAGTGGTTCGCAACCTTCCTAACGCTGCCACCCTTTAATACAGTCCCTCATGTTGTGGTGAAACCCCCCCCCCCGCCACCATAAAATTATTCTGTTACGACCTCATAATTGTAACTTTGCTGTAATGTAAATATCTGATATGTGACTCCCAGGGGGTCGTGACCCACAGCTTGAGAACCATTGCACTAGATGGGATTGCACTAGATGGGGACGTTACTATCAGCCCCCAGCTCCTTGAGTCCTTCCCTGATGGCTGGCTGACTTCTTCCTGCAGGGTTCCATGGAGGCAAAGGGCAAGTGGGTAGGTGGGTGCTAATACCCACCCTCCCCTGGCGATCTCGGCTATGTCTGGGGTCCCATTTTCCCTCCGCTTGGGGAATCAGTTTAGGTACAGTATCCTTTCTTTGTCTGCCCTAGGCACATAGAGAAGGCAGGTTCGGGCCACCTGTAGGAAGGGCCACTTGAAGCCACACCTGCCTAGGAAGCCAGGGTTTGAATGGGGACAGGGTGTGAGAGGGCATTGGTAATATCCTGTGTCGACCTGCAGAGGTTCCTCTTTCAGCTGCACTTTAGACTGGAATGTGCTCTGCGGGGCAGCAGGTGGGTCGAGACAAAGGCCCCTTGTCTGAGCTCAGGCCCACATGTGGGTTCCCCTAGAAGGCATCTCTCCCGAGTTGGGGCTCACCAGATGAATGACAGTTGGGCTGGGTCCCGAGGAGTGCAAATGGTTTGATTGGAAAGCAGGTACTGCCCTAGGTCTTTGAGTGCGAGGGATGTGGGTGCTAGGCAGGGATGGGACCCAGCTTCTCGCTTCCCCTAACTCTCTCGCCTTCGTGAATGCACCCCACTCGACGAGGCTGGGAAGGATCGGTTCTCTCTGCCTGGAGGGAATGAAAAGACGTATTGTGCGAGCGCTCAGGGTCTGGTCGCCAGCCAGGAATTAGGCCTTGGAAGGAGAGGAGGAGAAAGGCAGAGTGCAGGGACCCGGGGGTAGAAGAGACCAGAGATAGCGGGAGGGAGGGAGGAGGGGAGGCAGTCCCTGCTGCTTGGCTAGGCTGGGGGCCTGGGCTGCTGTGGTTCCTGGGTTCACAGGTGCGGGCCCCTGAGGGAAGAAGTGGGGGAGGAGGGAGGACTGTTATCTTCCCCAGATGCACGTGCTCCGGGAGGGGAGGAGGGTCACAACTCAGACTATTTACTTAATCCCCTGGAATGTCCTCTCTTTCGCTCTGTTCTTGGAGCCCCCCTCGTGTTTAACGGACTCCTTTATGGGCACATGTGTGGTAATTAACACGTGCGGTGTAGGTCCTGGGCCATGTGTTTGAGTTTCAAATATCCATTGATCTGAGGCGATCCCATCCTGCTCGCCCCCTCCTCATCTCCTCTGGTCCTGTTCCTTGAAGACAGATGGGGGTGGGGGTTGCGTGTCTGCGGGGTGGGGGCGGTGCACGTGTGCGTTCACATGTGTTTTATCGATGCCACGGAGGCTCATTTGAAGAAAGGAAGAGGACCCGGGGCCGTCCCTCCAGCTCTGAGGCCCGACTCTGCTCAGTTGAAGGCTGCAGGAGTTGAGAGATGGACTGATTTGGGGTTCTCATTCATGTAGTCCAAAGGGGAAATGGCTGGGAAGCCGGCTGTGTTTCCAGGCTATTGACTGATCTGGAGCAGCCTGTGTGGGCTTTCCTGACCGGTTTCTTTGGGGACTGAGATGTGAAGAACTCGGAGAGCTTGCAGGATAACACACGGGGTGAGGGCGGGGCTGCCTGACTGTACCACCCGTGAAGTACCCGGATGACAAGTCTCAACCTCCCCGGGAGACTGCGGGTTTTTAGCGCTTCTTAGACCGCCCCTCCTGAAGGCCCAGAGTCCTTGGGGCTGCGGATGCTGTGACAAACAGCAAGTGAAAGCTGGTGAGGATCATCAGAGGAAGTTTTCTGAAATGTCCCCACGGTCCTGTAAGAGGTCTGGGAGTTCAAAACCATGAACATACTCTGCCTAAAGTTTCCTCTAGGACCTTCGGTATTTTTCAAGCCAGCCTCAGAACAGGGCGGGGCTTCCAAGTACGGCTCACCCTTAACTGGCAGACAGGTCTTTTTAACCCTTTCCTGGTGGGCCTAGAGTAAGGAGTGAGTCACATTTACTTCTCCGACGTCCCTGTCTGTGTCTCTATTTTTAGAGGCTCTCGTGGAGTCTGGTCTGCAGGATGGTGCCAACCCGGGACCTGTGCCCCTCAAGCGGTGGACCAGAATGTCCACCAAGCTGATGGGTGACTTAGGGGAGGGGGAGAGGTGGCAGGTATTCCAAGTGAAAGAGACTCTGTGGTGTAGTCTCCCACCTTGGCCTCACAACTGGGGGCAAGGGCAATGGGCATACATTGCTCCAGTTCCCTGAGCCTGGGTGTCCAGGCTGGCTGTCCAGGGATACCCTCCACACGAAGCGTCTTCCTTGTCACACAGTTTTAACCTCCACTGCATTTGAGCGGAGACAAGCAACCCATGACCTGTGTGCACTCACTCTAACGCTATCCTGCTAAACAGGATATCTCCAACGTGGGGTAGGGGAAGCAGCTTTTGGCTCTCTGTGTGCATGTTGCCGCTGTGTTCTGTGCTCTACTCTACGCCACCTTAGCTGAACTGGGCATGTCAAATACCAGCTTCGTAGAGCTCAGTCTCAGTTGGTGTGCACAGGCAAACGTGAGTGCCCGCGCACACACAATGTCTGACTCCTTTCTACAGCTGCCCTGTCTTCCTGCTCCGCCCCAGTCTCAGCCCCCTGCCCTACACCTCAGCCTTTGCTCCACGTGGCTGAAGGAAAGTCTCTGTGTGAGGAGTACTAGGCTGAGTCTGACTCCCTGTCATATCGAATCTCCAAGGACCAGGAGAGGAAACTGGGACTTAAGGATCCGGAAGGGCTTCCTAATCGAATGAATAGTTGAATCCCTGGTGGTATTAGTAACTGTTGGTGTTTTATGCTGCTTCTTTTATTGGGTAAATGTTTA